ATAATAGTCTATACATATCTAATCTCAAGAAAGCTACTATTAGCTCATATCAAAACTACTTAGTTTTTTCTTAAAAACTTTTCTTACCTATATTCTAGCAGAATAAAAAAAAAATAGTTTTACAAAAGAGGCAAAATAGGGAATAAGAAAAAAAAAAAATAAAAATAGAAAAGTATAAATGTTAAATTTATCTAGGAAGCAAAAGTAAAAAGAACAGAAACAGATGAAAAAAGTAAAGAAAAAAAGACTATTGTAGTCTCAATATATATGAACAAAAGAAAAAAAAAATACAACAAAATATTATAACAGAGAAAAAATTATATAGTATTCTAAATAGACTAAGCCTTTACTTTATATCTATTATATTTTAATTAAATCTAGTAGTATAGAAATTTTACTAGAAATATAAAATATAGAATACTAAAACAAATAATATAAAGTCTGTGTATATATTTATTTATATCACTAATATATTATTGCTGATTTGTACTAAAAGCTCATATAATATATTTTCCAATTTGATAGATATATTTCTAATTTGAATAAAGTAAATATTATTGATCATTTTGAATGTGTGAACTGTATTGCTACTTTTTGTGAAGAAAAAAAAGCTAAATAATGAAAAGAGGAATATACATATAAAAGTACTAATAGTAAAGATTTGTAAAAGTATATGTTATATAGAATAGTATATCTACTAAGTCTATACTCTTGTTATTGCTTAAATATAACTTAATAAGAACTTTATTAGTTATTACCAAAACTACTTTTTCAATAGCTTCATAGACTTCTACTAGAGAGCTAAACTCACAAGAGACAGTTTTTTTTAACTCTATTTCATATTGTCTACATATAATCTAAAGCTTTTGAATTCAGTTACTACTCAGAGAAGTTTTGTTGTATAAATATATACTAACTATATAATATTCATAGGTCAGTATTTTGTAAAAATATTAGTATAAGAGATTATTAAAAAGAGTTAGTAACTAAAGCTATTTTTGCTAAACTAGATTATTATAATATCTAATTCTTCTATATTTTTATTTATTCTGCTCAATCTTAATCTCAATACTAATAAGAGTTTAATAATCTACTTATAGTAGTAATTTAATAATATAAATAATTACATTATATTATAATTACTTATAAAACAAATAGAAATAAAATTTTTTATATTTTACAAGAAAATTAAAATAGATTATCTTCTAAATATAGATTTTAATCTAAAAGATTTGTATAAAATAGCTTATTCAATCTTTTAGCATATTTAAAAATCTATTTGATTAGCTGATATTTTAATTAATTTTATTGGCTGATGATTAATTAGTTTAACTAGAAATAATAGTTTTTTATTTCTAGTTTGAGATTTTTTCTTACTAGCAATTAAACTGAAATAGTTTATTAACTAAAATAGTTTATTATTTTCATTTTAAGGTTTTTTCTTGCTAGTATTTATTTATTTGTATTTAAAGATAATAAAAGTAATTTAATATAATTAGAATTAGCAATTTTAGATAATTGCTAAACCTCATATAAAACAAAAAAAAGATTAGTTAAATCTAAATTAGCCTTAGTAATTTTTTTTTAGTTTTCTAATCGTCTAGAATTATTAAAATTATTTACAATATAAAATCATGAAAAAATTAGTTATTAAAAATAAATATTAAGGTTTGGTGATCTTAGTGTAGTAGTTAGGTTGCCAAACTACCATGCAAGAGGTCTGGAGTTCAAATTCTACTATTAACAAATTTGAATAATTACCTAGACTTTTGTACCCAACTTACAGTAAACTCTGTTCATTTCTAGGATTGTAACTCTATAAATCATATTGCACCAATATCATCTAGATATTGGAAGTATGATAAGGCATTTAATGAGATATAATATTATATGAATAAATTTTAATAAGATCTATAAACAGAGAATCTGTATAGTAGAAATCTCAAGTTAGTAAAGTAGTACAGCCTTCAATAATCATACTAGCTAATGCTTGATCCAGAAAGAAACTATAATTAAAAGATGCAAATTGAGTCAGATGCATATAAATCTGTTCTACAAGAAGGATTAGTAATGCTAACCTAGCTTAGTAGCTAACTGGATTGAGAGGATCTGCCTTGTAAAATATCTGAGAAAATAGAATACAGAAAACTGGTGAAGAGCTACAGTAGAAACTAGAGTTATACAAATATCTACAAGGATCTAAGCTAGGTGAATTCATAAAATAGATACAAACCACTCTAGTAGGTATGCTTTGAGGTTAACTAGCTCTGCAATACTTATAATGCATTAGATACAGAGTTGGTCAAATTACTGGTCAACCAAAAATTTGTTGGTCGAACTGGTCTGGTCAAATTGGTCAAATAGTCTGGTCAAATTGGTCAAATAGTTTAACCTATTAAATAAATAATTCTAATATACAAATCAATAAATATATATATATATATTCTTTATATATTATTTGACCAATTTGACCAATTTGACTAATACTAAACACTTTGACCAACTGGTCAAATTGGTCAAACTGGTCTGGTCAAGCTTGACCATTGACCAGTCCGTGCCAACACTGATCTGGATGATAAGGATTCCTAGATGAAATATCTCTAGATGTAGTTCGCAGCTTACTGCAATCCCACAGGATGAATAATGCCTGATGGATAAGTACCCTACGAGCCAAATGTGTAGGCGTAAGGACTCTTAAAGCTTGCAGCTTACTGCAACCTCACAGAATAAATAATACTCTAATAGACAGGTACTCTACGAGCCAAATATGTAGGCGTAAGGACCTAATGTTATTTTGAAAATAGAAAATACAGATTAATATTTTTGATATTTGGAATATACTACAACATCTACAACAATAATTTGTATCTTTAAAATTTGACCTCTCTACTATAACCTCCTTAAAAACAATATTCTTCTTTCTTCTTTTTACTTTTAAATTCAATGACAAAATATTCTCTGCTTAAAATATTTACTCTCTCTTTAATAATTTTACCTTTACTTTACTTTCTTTCATCTCTCTTACTCAAATCCCTCTTCATCAATAATTTTCATCAAACATTTTATTTTATTTTATTTTATTTTTTTATTTACTCTTTAATTATTTAATATTAGTTTATTTTTCTTTTTCTTGGTTAACAAAATATGTAGTAGCTATAACTTTGAATAACAAATGTTGTGACTTGTTAGCATATTTGTTAATCTGAATTTTGAAAACTATATGTGATTGTTGACGGTATAAAATTATGAGTAGTAAAAGCGTCTTGCAAGCTCTAGCCCATTCGAATGTAATAGATGCTATCTTGTTTTCTGTTCGTCTTGCTTTATGCATAAAACAGAAAAGTCTTAGGATTCAAAGTTTTTTACTGCATATTATAATTTATAAAAGGTCTTTATCTTCTGGCCCATTATGAAATCATAGGATCCAAATTCATTTATTCTTTATTTTATTTTTATTTTATTTTATTTACCACTTTATTTATTACTTTATAATTTAATATTTACTTAAACTCAGAATTTATTTCAACAACAAAATTTTATTTAGTTTATTTAAATTTTATTTACATTTATCTTTCTCTAAAAAACTCAAACTCTACTATCCTTTCCTTACTTCCACTACTTTCATCATTATTACTATCATCATTATTATTTCCTCTCTTTTTTCTAACTTCATCCTCTAAATTTGACATTCTAGCCTACAACCTACTTCTTTCTCTCAATAACTTCTCATACTCTGCATCTCTCATCCAACTTCTCAAAACATTTTCCACAATAGTTTCTTGTTGCACCTCAACTCTTTTTTCCAACTCCCAAACTCGATGATATAAACTTCTTATCTTTCGCATCAACCTAATTAATTTTAGAACCAGACTTTAAAATATATTATTATTGCAAATATAATATATTATCGATATATATACCTTCTATTTTCTGTTTGGACTATGTCTAAAGCTTCGAAAAGAGAATTATCTGAGCTTCCTCTTAGGTGCCAACCAGAGGATCTCTTTTGTTCGTAGTTGAAATAGCGAGGCATTATTTTTATTATTATTATTATTTTAAACTTTTAAAAATTTATTTTTTTTTAAGGTTTAATTTTATCGATCTTATCTTAAAAACTTAATATACTTTAAAACTTTAATTTCATATATCCAAATTTAAATATTCTTATTAGATAATTGTTAGCAAAACCTTGCTACCTAAAAAGGGTCTGTAAAAAAATTTAGACATTAAGCAGTTGTGGGATAATGGTTTGGACATATGTACCTAGTCGATCCCTAGGTTAAGAGTTCAAATCCAGCTTAGAGCATGGCAATCCTGACTGATGAGTATAGGTAGTACCCCTTAAGTTACAATATCTGCTATCTTTTTATTTTATTATTTTATTTGATATTACTATTCATTTGAGTAATAGTAATCTTATTTTAATACTCTTTACATACTTTAAGTATTTCCTTTACTCGATTAGGAATACTTTAATTTCAATTTTTATTTCAATTTTTATTTTATCGTAATTTTCAAAACTTAGAATTTTCAGTGAAAATTTTTGAAACCCGATGAAAATACATCAAATTTTTAAACAATTTTAGACTCAGATTTATTTTTTTTTTAAAAAAATAATAATTTTTAAAAGTCATAGTTATATTAATACTAGAAATATCTTCTTCACTCAAATATTTTTCTTTAACAACTTTATCTTTAACTGCAAGCAAATTTAATGCTAGTTCTAATTTTTTCTACTTTCTAAGCATATAATAGATAGAATTCTATTAGGTTTTAATATTAACTTCAGATACTAGGTTAGTAATATTTTTTAAATTACAAAGTCTCTTTAAAGCTTTTTTTGTCAGATTAGAGAATTTAATATATAACATTAATGATCTCACTTTTGCAATTAATTTATTGATATGTTTAAATTCTTGACTAACTACAAAATTTAAGACAAAAGCTACATATTTATAATACAAAAATCCAAGTTTGTCAAATTCATTTTCGAGTTCTTCTTATATTATTTTACTACAAACAATCATTGACTTTGCATTGTCAGTAGTGAGAGCTAAAGTTTTTTTTGCTAAATTAAATTTACGAAGAGCATTCATTATAGAATTAGCCATATTAGATCCAGTATTACAAACTTCTATTAGAATAATATCTAAAAGAAAACTTTCTAATTTCTAGGAAAAATTGATATAATAAATAGTTAAACTAAAAAATATAATACCATTTGATACAGTCTATATATCAGAAGTGAAAGATACTTTTCTAGGAATTAAAGAAAGAGCTAATTTTATTTTTTTTCTTTTTACTTTCAAATAAAGTTATAATACGATCCTTTTCAGTATAATAATTATGAAATTTATAACATAGATCAAATTTTTTTATCATATCTTACTATTTTTTATATTTAATAATGGTAAAAAGCTATAAATTATATAAAATCTATCTGGTAACTGCATTATTATGCTCTTGTTGATCTTTTAGTAAGTAGAGAGTATACTGATTTTTATATATAGTTTTATTTTTTTAGTTGTTTTAGTGCTGTAATATCATGTAATTCTAGATATCACTTTAATATTAAGACACTAGTATTTTTTTCAAATACTAATTTGCAAGTTTTACATATTGGTTTTTACAAATTATTTTTTATAAAATAATTCTATATAGATGAGATATTAGCTTTTCTTTTTTTTAGTAATTGTGAATTTATAGATATATCTAAACAAGTATTAACTGATACTTTATGTTCTTAACTATTTTGAAATTTATAAATCTTATTATCTTCAACAAAATCTATGATATTGTTACAAGTGTCAGCCTTCTTAATTCAACATAAGTAACATAAGACACAGAAAAGGGGCTCTCAATGGTGTCCAAGTGGAATATTACTTCACTGTGGCAGTTCATTACAAAGTTAATAAAAGAGCAAAAATTATACTTTATTTAGAATACAATATCGATAATACAAACTATCTATTAGTTTATGTGCTAAGTGAATTCTAATATTAAGGAGATTGCAGAGGTCAAAACCTAAGTTGGAGCAAAGGGAAAAGGGAGGGTTTATATAGCTTTTTACAATTAAAAATAAAAACGGTAAGAACAAAAAAGAATCAATGAAGCATGATATATAGAAGTCATAAACAAAATAACAGAAGAAAAATAGTCAGAAGTT